TATATTTTATAGGTCTAAAATACACTAATGCTTATAAGTGTACAAACAGAGAATTGTATGAATTGTAAACAAAAACATGTACGTATCGCATCTGATTAGAATTAAGTGAAATAATAATAATTAAAAGATAATAAAATGCTTCAGTTTAAGGGACACAACTAGTGTGAAATTCTCAAACTGTAGTCGAATTTTCATATTTTTTCATATTTCGATAGGTTATACCTTTAAAAATAACATACCAAAATTTCAAATCGATATCTTAAATAGTTTTTGAGTCACAGCCATTTAAAGAGTATATAGTATAACGATCATTTTATCTTTAAACGCGTTTTTCTCGAAACAGCATTTTTCGAATTTGCTGCAGCGATTACTCAAAAACAAATGATCCGATCACTATCAATTTTTTTGTACATGCTTTATATATAGTTCTCGTAAAATAAACTATCGATTTTTTGATAGGATCAAAAATCGAATTTTGGAAGTCCAAAAACTTTTTTATAAAAAACGCCGCCATTTAATCAATTTTTGATTTCTGTTTTATCATAGTTCATTTTACAGACAACATTATCTAGTTTAACGATTTTTTTTTTTGGATTTGATCCACGTAGAAGGCCGGAATCACTGCAGCAGTGAAAGGCCTTTTTTGTGCCGTTGGAGATATACGATAACTTAAAAGATATTTAGTTTTTTTCTTCAAAAATTTTGAGATGTGCTGATTAGTTTTTGGCAAAGGCAGGTCCAGCAATTACGGAGATAAAGAGCAATGAGTGCAGAAAATTTAAATCGAGTTTTTGAGAGAACGGAGCATCCGATTTGAATGATCTAAAAACATTCAACTAGTAATGATTGGGAGAAGTGGTAATTAGTTTTTGGCAAAGGCAGGCCCAGCCCATTTCGAAGATACAGTGCTAAATGTACAAAAAATTTTTTTTGTATATCGAAAATAATTCAGATTTTTATTTTAATTCTGTTCTAATATACTTTAAACAAATAATTTCAACTTTCCAATTCAGTTTATATAATTCTTATAAATATTAGACAATGTACAATATTTATAATAATCTATTTTAAAACATTTAATATTCCTCGATCATTTCGTTACGGTACGGGAAGTTTCAGCAATTTGCTTTAAGGCACGATGCCATACACCCAACTAATTTTTTTTTAATTTTGAGTGTTTTTGCAAATTTCGAAATTTTTGAAATAAAACGATTTGAATTTTTTTGTAATTTTTTGGAAATTTTGAATTTTTTTGATATTTCAGATAAAATTACGAAAATTTGAAAAAAATGCATATTTAAATTTTTTCGGAAATTTGAATATTTTAAAATTACTGAACTGCCTTTCCTAAACTAATCATTTATTCACGCCGCTCAACGCCGCTATATATACACAATAGCTATTTACAAAATAAAAACTAAACGCTTCCAAAATCGAAGTAAATGAATCAAGTACGCATTGATATTTTCATGTCAAAATACAGCTTTTCTATTGGACACTGAAGGTATCGGCCACGAGATCGTTCATCTATCGCCGACATAGGACATGCTTTATTCGTAAAATACGGCAGGAATTTGCAAGGACTGAAGTTGTTATGAAATCAAATTCCGACGTTGTTAAGGCAACGGTTTTACTTAGAAATTATGATGAGTATACCGCCGTTGTGAATGCGTGAAATCTAGCAGGCCAGATCGCAAATTATGTCGCGCAAGATCGTAAATTATGGTTTATCATGTCGTTCCTAGGGTAACAAACAAACAAAAACTGTCCAGCATGAAAACTGGCGTCGTGTGCACCGGGCTTAAAACTAGTATTCACGGTTTCTAGGTATATTTTTTACACTAGTTGGTTGAAGGGTTTAATTTTTTCTGATTATGGATTTAATCTTGAACTACTGAATCTGAAAGTAAATTATCGGATAAAGTAAAATTGAGATCGCCGTAAATCGGTTTGAAAGCTTTTAAAATATCAGGAGGTGAGGGAGAATGATCTTGAGTATAAGTATCGAGCTCTCCACTTGCGTCAACGCGCTAGTAAGAGTCCAATAACTCAAAAAGTAATCATCGGATCAACTTGAAATTTTCAGAGAATATTTTCAAGATGTTACCCTTAATGAAAATGCAAAAAAATAAAAATCGATTTTTCAAAAATCCCAAGTACCCCTAACCCCTTAATAGCTGAAGCAGGTGAATTTCTACTAAGCATTAGAAAGCAGATCCTATCAAATAGATTCTTAATACAAAAATATAATGGAGCATGTGATGATATACCCAAACAATTAGAAGTATTAGCGAGGCTACATTTTACCAATCCATTCTGGAGATATTACATACGAAAAGTATGTAATCTTATATATAAAAATGGAGCTCTCTTTCAAATGTCCGAATAAAACTCGAAAACGGCTGAATCGATTTGGCCAGTCTTAGTCTTGAAAAATTCGTGCCAATCCAGAGAAAGTCCAAAAGGTGAGAAATTATTTCAAATCCGCGTAGAAACTTTACATTTTTAATTTGAAAATTTTTGTAGAAGTTGACAGATGATGTTCGATTACGTTGGATACGATGTTTTACGCGAATATTATTTATTTATGATAAATTTGTAGTAAGTAGTTTTATTTATATACAAAAACGTTAGTAAACGGGCCGTAAGTGTTACTAGAGACTCAAAATATAAACTTTTTTGATATGTTAATATAAAAATGCACTTTTTTGAATATTTTTCTCAAACACGGTGCTCTGAAAGATCTCATTGGTATAATTATATACTTATTGGTATTTATAAAACATTTTCTAGGTTATATTATTTTTTATTTATCTTATTTAAATTCAGAACCTAAATTTGGTATCGATCAAATGGACATTTTGTCGAATAACATTTTTCCAGTTATAATTTCCCAGAATTTATCGCAAAATAGATATTAATATATGAAGGTCCGGGATTAAAAAGGTCCACCACCGATGTGCCAAAAATCAGTAAAGTTAAGCATTGTTTAACAACAATATTTGAAAATAGAGGAAAAAAGATGTACAGCCAGCTACAAACTCGATTTGAAAACGATAATCTTTGAAATTGCGGAGATAAACGGTAATCTTTGAAAATCCATAATAAAAGTATTTTTTTCCATTGGTAGTTTTAGCATTAGTTAAAAATGTAATTATTTTGTAAAATACCTTTAAAATTATAATAAGGCTTTAAACCTTTTGCCACCTGCCCGTTACAAGTTACCCCGCCTATAGGATAAAAAGGTCTAGATAACAAATTTTTGGAAGACATAAAAAAAGCACATTTCTACAATGATGAAGTAGAAGTCAGTTTACTGAACGTAGTCAGATAATTGTTCGTTTGATATGTCTTATTTGTTGTGATATAATTGTTATGGTTCATATTTGCTCAAAGTCAAATTGGACCTTTGTGCCTCGCCTTGCTCTACTTATATACTTTTTATTAAATTTACTTTAATTCATTCATTTAAGTCAAAGAAGAAATACTTAATTCATTTTCTATCTCTCCTCGCAGAAATTTGATTTTTTTTTATTAACTCAGTAGAATTATTTACAATTATAAACAAAATCCTGAATCCAAAAAGAATATGAAAGACCTGAAACGTAATCAATAAGTCGAAAGACCAAAAAAAGACTTGGATAGGATTCTACCATGTTTTCTATAGAAAGTGTATAAAACTTCCAGACAAAATATAGACAAACTGATGTGGTTTATTGTTTTGATAATATAGCATTCAAACAACACATTCTTATGCACTAAAAGTATTAATATTTTTGATTTTCTAGAAATTGTTTAGAATATACCTTACCTAGCAAAACAACGTTTGCCGGGTCAGCTAGTAATGAATGAAAAGATGCCAATTTATCACCTTGCTAATGAATACACATCAATAAAATATTGCATAGTAATGGATATGGATTTAACTCACTTGATACTTCTAAATGATACCGCAAAAAATAAAGAATTTCAAAATAATGTGGCTAGAAGATGGCTAGGATATATACACATTTACACAGACGGATCCAAAGTAGGGTACAGTTGTGGTTGCGCTATATTTGTGCCATATCACAATTTTAGCAAGAGAATTAAACTACCAAATTAAGCGTCTAATTTCACAGCAGAAATGGTGGTTATATACTATGGTGTAAATTATGCGTGGGAGAAAAACATGACGAAAACAATTATATTTAGTGACAGCAAAGCATGTCTATCAGCGATAGCGAATCCAAATAGAAGATCAAATGACATGATAATAGAAATCATAAATAAAATGAATGCAATAAATAATGGCATAAATTCCTTAATATTAACTTGGATCAGGGGACATTCAGGTATCACAGGAAATGAGATTGCTGATATCCTTGCAAAAGAAGCTGGTCAAATTGGAGTAGAATGTGAAAAAATACCTGCTTTGGAGCTGAAAAATTTAATTAAAGAGCGGAGCATAGATGTGTGGCAAAAAGACTTCTCAACGTTAACAAAGAGCAAGGGTATAATTTATGCTCTGACAAAAAAAAAGGTATCTCAAACAACCTGGTTCAAAAATGATACAAGCAGTAGGAATTTCGTATCAACAATTACAAAATTAAGGCTGGGGCATACAATGTGCAAGATTTATCTCTGGAGGTCTGGAGACGAACCGGAGACAATAGATCATATATTCTGGGAATTCAGAATGTATGAGAATTCAAGAAGAATTATGTATCAGAAATTGCAAAAAAAATATTATATTTCCAGCAAACACACAAATCTTAATATCTAGTAATAATGTGGATTTATATAAAATTTTATATAGTTTTATAAATAATAATAAAATTAATGTATAAATACACAAAAATGTAAAATTATAACTGGCGTGATGATCGCAAGATCCACAGCCATGTTAAATAAATAAAATAAAAAAGCAACAAATAGTAGCTTTACATTGATACATTTTTCCTTTATTTATGAATTTAAATAACTTAATTTTTTATATAAGTCTATTTATACCTTTCTAGGAAAGTTCAACATGTTCGACCACGGTTTGGAAAAGAACAAAGTGGTCTATGGCCAGGAAAAGCCACCGAGCTATAAATTGAGCAATGTTTTATGCAAAGTTTATTTATATTATGGTGAAAATGATCTCATGACTGGATACGAGGTAAACAGAACATGTATATTGAATCATTAATTAATAAAAAACAGCCAGGCTTATCTTTACCAAAAACTAATCAGCACGATTCACAATTATATAACATCCTATTAGTTGCAGATTTCTAAATTCACGGTTATTTTATTTTAAATAATTTAAATATAACAATTGCATTATATATAGGTAAAACCTTAATAAACTTGTAATTAAGTTTGAAGTTTAGTCATCCCTTAGTGTAATTTATTGGTTACATTTTTTTATATCTGGCTTTATTTTGATAAAATTCATCTTTATACAAATGTATTTTGAAAAACCAGTAAAAACTTAATATAATTGTCTACAAATCTGTATACAACTTTAATATATTTTCAAACAAAATTGAATAAAAAGAATATTGTGATTTTGATATTTAGTTATGCATTAGTGGGCAATATTGGTTGCAGTTCTCTATATTTGGAAATATTTTGACACCATTTATCATTTTATGCAATATGATATATCGTTAAAAAGAATATAAAATTATCTATCCAAATTTAGCAAATTGTATCTGTTGGAACAAAATTATATAAAAATAGTTCGTTAAACTTTGATATCGAATTTTTCATGCGGCACTCATATCGTTTTAGCATCCACGTGTTTGTTTATAATTACATTTATTTAGTTAGAATTGAATTAAATATATTAAAATTAGTATATATCATTAGAAACTATAATCTAATCTAATCCAATGAAGTTATCTATTCTTACGTATATAAAGATTTGAAACGATTAAAACAAAATTGTATAAGAAATGGTTACTCTTTGAATTTTGAATAGAATGTGAATTTGTAAATTGAGAAGTTGATTATTATCAATATTTTAATTAAATATTATTATTATTAATTTTAAGCTAATCGAGAGTTTTTTTTTTAAATTTATAGGATATTGAAAAATTAGCATCAAATCTAGGACAATATCCAGTGATGTATAATATCTCAGAACCAAATTTTAATCATCTAGACTTCATCTGGGCCAAAGATGTGGAAGCTTTGGTAAACCAAAAGGTTTTAGCCAATCTACTCAAACAATAATTCAAAACTTATTTATTTTTTGTTTATTATTATATAATATTGTAATAAGAATTACAAAAATAGATTTAAGCCATTCAACTCCCTTTGCATAAATTTTGAACTAATTCTCCAAAATTTGTATCTATCTAAAAAATAGTGTGAATAAAAAAATCAGTAATATATTATGCATAAACTTTATGGCCATACTATTTATATAATTTTTTCATTAAGATATATATGAATAATCACCAAATTGAGCAAATCCCACCGAATGAAATCTTATAAAATTATAGAAGAAACGGTGATTAATATAAAAATATTATATATTTTTATGTATTAATAAATTTAGGATATAGTTTGGAAGTTTTTTTTTACAAAGTTTGAAATAAACTTTTTTATATTCTGGATTTTTTAATATTCTTATGGAAATCTTATTATAATCCAATAAGGTTTTTATTACATTCTTATTGGGGTTTTTATAGAAATAATGTTATTAAATAAAAAAATACATGAGGTATACTGAGGGACCGACCGCTTTGAAAAATTTTATCCACACATACATACGCACATACCTTCATTTTTTAAGGTATGCAAAAATATTATAAATGTGTATCAACGCAGAACACAAGTATATATATATATATATATATATATATATATATATATATATATATATATATATATATTAGGGTGGTCCTTATCAAGGACATTTTCGAATTTCTTTGCTCCCAGGGGCGCAATTGCTTCCAAATCAATAAAAAATGATTCTCTAAAAGTTTTAGCTCTTTTTATAAACATTTAGATAGAGCGCACAATAAAAATTACTTGCATATATTTGTTACTAAAGTTACTAATTTCGGTAAATTCGTACGTCATCTGTGATCATTGATCGTGAACTCAAATCTTATGATACATAAGAATATTTATAAACCACATAACATGCACAAAACCACTTAATAAATACACGTGAGCTGTTCTATAAAGCTATTCATCATGGCATCAAGAATAATTTTGCAGCAAAATATTTATTTAATGTTTGATGTTTGATGTTGATACTCAAATTGTCAGTAATAAATTACCATCAAAGTTACAAGTGCTGAAAGTGTTTTTTTATTACATACGTATTCTTAAATTTATTTTACATGAAAGTGCTGAACTTTGTATAGATGAAGTAAAAATATTTTGGCAAAAGGCTCAGATACCTACTAGAAGAAAAGATCATTGTATACAGTATTTGTTGAAATTACATGAACAATATAAGATTATCAAAAAAAGTGTAAACAGAGACACAAATAAAACTAAGGAGGACGAATTTAAATTATCATTGTTGAATTTGTTCGAGATTGCTCATGCGAATGTGGAAAAAATGGTCAACGAACCTATAATGCATTTTTTAAATGAGCAACGAAAAGATGGTATAATTGGTTTCATAGCTATTATTGAGTCTGTGATGATAATGAACAAGTACAAAAAATGAAGGATGAACTACTACAGCTACGGCGGGAAAAATCGGAGAGAGAAAAAGCTCAATACGGTAAAGTTGATTTTAAAATAATTTATAAATTGTTGTACCTTAATTTTAATCATAAATTTTTATTTTTATACATTTCATGTTAATTGAATAGAGCTACGTCGAGAAAAATCGGAGAGAGAAAAAGTTCAATACGGTAAAGTTCATTTTAAAATAATTTATAAAATGTTGTACCTTAATTTTAATCATACATTTTTATTTTTATACATTTCATGTAATTGAATAGATGACTTTGTGGAATTCACGTCAAGCAGTGAAGTGGAAGGTGCAATTCCGTTGAGTCAGAAAACAAAATCATCTATATCAAATTTTTTTAATGAACTGGTAGTTCCTCAGCACCAAGAACCGATACAATCTCGTGGAACAATAAATATCATAGAGGAATGCTGTACATTTGATTATGGCTTTACGTTCATCATTAAATATTGATGTAAATCCGTTAATAGTAAATAAAACATCTATACACCGAATTAGAGGAAAAATACGTGCAAAAAAGTCGAACAAATCAAAGAACTGTTTAAAATTGAGGACTTGAATGCTAGTGTTCTACACTAGGATGGAAAATTTTTAAAACTTCAAGCGGAGAAAATAAAGAAAGACTCCCAGTTGTATTGAGTTGGACAAATAGAAAAAATGTTAGCGATCCCAGTATTAGATGATGGTAAAGAGACAGTCCCAAGCTAATGCAATGTTTGACGCTATTAATGATTGGGGTATTTCAGACAATATCAAAGCTCTTTGCTGTGATACTACTGCTGCAAATCTAGGTTCCAACAAAGGAGCTGCAGTTTTGCTTGAACAGTTGCTTGAAAAACAACTACTGTATTTGCCTTGTAGGCATCACATATTTGAACTTATTTTAAGAGCTGTTTTTGAACTTAAAATACCTGTAACTTCAGGACCAGGCGTACCTTTGTTTAAAAGATTCCGAGAGCACTGGAAAGAAATTGATAAAAGTCAATATTCTACTAGCTTTGAAGACTTGTATGTGCAAAACATAATACAAAATCACATCGAAGACATAAATCTATTTATCCAAAAGCAACTAGATTCTGAACAACCAAGAGAAGACTATAGGGAACTTTTGGAGCTTGTTCAGATATTTATTGGTAAAGTTCCTTCAGTTTTTCAAAAGATTTGAAATAAATACAGACTTTTTAAATTCAAATCCGTCTGAGTGGTATCAAAATGAAAATTACCAGAGGGGCTTGCTATTGGTAAGAAATTTGAAAGTGGTTAATGATATTGCTGAGCGAGCAGTGAAGTTAATTGAGGAATATCAGAACATACTGAGTAAGAAACCAGAGCAGCAACAATTTATCATACAATTCTTACAAGAATATAAACAATATTATACCGATACTAGAAAAAATGCAATCATTTTAAATATGAATGAAAGAAATGATGAAAGCTAATTATCCAAATGATATGCAGCATCATCATCATATTTTATAAATCAATATTATATAAATAAAAATTTTACGACAAAAATTTGATGTATTTTATAAAATAAGTATTTACTTAATAATTATACTTGATAATATTAATAGTTGTAGAATAATTAAAACTTTAAAAAAAGTATTAGCGCTTGTAACTTTGATGGTAATTTATTACTGACAATTTGAGTATCAATATCACCAATTAAATAAATATTTTGCTGCAAAATTATTCTTGATGCCATGATGAATAGATTTATAGAACAGCTCACATGTATTTAATAAGAGGCTATGTGCATGTTGTGTGGTTTATAAATATTCTTATGTATCATAAGATTTGAGTTCACAATCAATGATCACAGATGGCGCAAGAATTTACCGAAATTAGTAAATTTAGTAACAAATATATGCAAGTAATTTTTATTGTGCGCATTATCTAAATGTTTATAAAAAGGAAGCAATTACGCCCCTGGGAGCAAAGAAATTCGAAAATGTCCTTATTAAGGACCACCCTAATATATATATATATATATATATATATATATATATATATATATATATATATATATATATATTAGGTTGGGCCGAATCATTATTGTAGTAAAATTAAGCGATATGGGCACCTTTTCATATGAAATATATGTGTTATTTAAATGAATTTTGACTTCAAAACCATATATCGCAAATAACTCTTTAGCCAGCGAAATTTTCAATAAAATACTGTTTTTAATAAGTTAATATATTAATTTAGGCATGTGAATAATTCAAATTGTGAGTTATATTTTAATTGATAGTTTGTACGGGGGTTTTTAAATCGGGTTTAGTTTGTTGTTATTTATTTCCATCAGAGTGCGCTAGTATTTTTTTATTATAATTCTCGAAGTTTCGAAAAGAATATATTAATGTGAAAAACTCGCATTAATCTTCATTCAGTTCTCCAGTTAGACGTGAAGTATCAATGGCGAATTCTTATTTAAATTCAGGCGCAAGTGCCAGTAATTTGAATCATATGCGCTCGCATGATCAAATTACATTTGGGGAAGCAGGAGAATTTACTGGAGTAAATCTTCCGACAAGTATGGAAATTATCAGGTATTATTTTTATTTGGCCGAAGAATCAAAAAAACAAAATAAAATGTTTTCATATAAAACATTTACTCCAAATGTGGTAACGAAATTGATTCAGACGTGGGAAAAAATTGATATTCCAATTATGGAGAAACGAAGTATCGCTAGAAAATTGAACCGATTGATTGATAAATATAAAGTCTACCCAAGCATCATTTCAGGAGTTTGTAGAATCCACGAAAGAATTATTTTATATTGGAAAATGCAAATGCGATTTGCGAAGAATACTGTGTTCCTGCGGACTGATCCCAGCACACTTACAAGCGTTTATGATGGATCAACATAATGAGAGGAAATCTACGATACCAGAATATATTATAAAAATTGAAGATAAAGTATCAGCATCTACAATAACTAGCGATATTACTCCAGGTGAGACATATACTCCTGATGTTGGTTTTGAGTTTAAAAGCAGTTTGAAAAGTTCACAAAATACTTCTCATATAAAACGTGGACCATATAGTCGAAGATACAAAGCTCCAAACTATGCCTTAATATGCGACAGATTTGCAATCTCTGATAGAGTTGGTTCTGCCGTGGTGACAGCAATCCTGAAAGACCTGGACATAAAGGATGATTGGGGCAATCCTGTCATTATGGATAAAAATAAAAGCGTTCGCGAGAGGCAGAAAAATAGGCAAGCTCTACTCAAACGATATGATTCTTCTGAATTAATAGCATTTTCATTCGACGGCCGAAAAAATGATTCTATTACCATGGAAAAAATCGATAAGAAGTTTCACCCACGAATGATTAAAGAAGCGCATTTAGTTATTTTAAAGGAACCGAATTGCCAATTGTTGGGTTACACAAAATTGGAAAATGAAGATTCGGAAAGTAAAGTAATCAAATTGAACGAGTTTTTCGCCGATAAAGGAATAGCTCTCGATTCTTTGATAGGCATATGTTGCGATGGTGAACCAGCA